CCTGACTTTATAACTTTTCTTAGCAGCATAATAACTGCCACAATCGTTCATGTCTTCCACTGACATCACTCTCAAGCTCTCCAAACAGGAACGAACCATTTAACGCAGATAGGGGGGTTCAGGGCAAATATGGATGTGTGTTTTTTGATCTGTGAGTGGGAATATTAAATTTTTACTGCTAAAAACAATCTTTGAAAATACAATATGATTAATTTTGTAATTGACAGGGCCCCGTTTTTTTTTTTTTTATTTCTATGAACAAAAAATAAGTAATTAAATTGTGGAGGGCCCCCTGTAGGTCAGAGCCCCTAGAATTGTCATCACTTCCCTATACTGCGCCCCTGCTGGGGAGGTTGATTACTTAAGAAGGAACAGATGACTGATTAGAAACAAGTTCCAGGTGTGAAGGGAGAGAGTAGAAGGCAGGCCGAGGAGAGAGAGACAAGGAAGAGACAGAGAGAGAGTACCACAGGAGGGAGAGTACACAGCGAACAAGAAATAAATCTAAAACTAAAGAATAACTAGACATAAATTAAACTACAGTAACAAAATATAACTACACACAAGAAATAAACATGAATCACAAAGGACAGAACTAAAGTAAAACAGAAGTAGGAGCATAGAAAGAAAGAGACTAAGGAACAAAGAATAATAAACTTCAAAACAACCCAGGATCCTATCACAGTGTTTATTTGTCATAAATGTAGATACACAGTAAAAATGCCAGTGTTGAATTAACACCTAAAAGTGTGTATATGTGTCCAAGTCAGCTGGTGTCAAAGTAACATGTTTGAAAGTGTTAAAAGATCGACACCCTTTTTTTTTTTTTTTTTTTTTTGTTAACAACGGACAATGGGTTTAATAAAAGTTAAACTTTCCATTTCTGTGTATTGTTTTGAATATTTTTCCACTGGATTTGGTTGATATGGACACTTATGTTTTGTGATCAACACTACACTGATGTTACTTTTAACATTGTATTTTAACACCAACACCCCTGTAATGTTATTATGACACTCGGTATTGTTTAATATTAACAGTGTCCGGTGTTAATTTAACAACAAGAAAATGTGTGTCATTCTTTTAACACTTTCAAAAGTGTTACTTTAACATCAGGTGATTTAAACACATATACACACTTTTGGGTGTTAATTCAACACTGGCATTTTTACTGTGTACAGTGTAAAGTTGACTCACATCATTCCAATGTGTTCTAATCCTTTTCCCCTCTCTCTGTCTTTCATTCAGCCTGCAGCATGATGAGCACAATGGACCCTCTCTGCTTCATTACTCTTCTTTTCTTGCATAAATTCATATTTATACTGTTGGGCCATTGAAGAAACTCTATAGAATGCAGTTGGGCTTGCAGGTTTTCACTTTTAAAACCAAACTGAAACCAAGCAAAAATCCAGCTGTGGGAGCCATGCAGCTCACAGATGAGAGACAGATCTGCCATGGACGTGTAGCAGCAGGACCAGTGACTGTTAAGAATGTGGACAAGAGAAACTAGCTTAGAGAATATAAGAGAGCATCAGTACTGTTCCCCAAGAAGCCAGAGCAGCAGAATGGATGAGTTCTGCTTCACACTTTCTCATGTTTTTGTCAGCCTCTCCACTGTGTGACCATCAGAGGACTGAAAGCCAGCTCTTCATCTGTAAGGGGATGCTCACTTTCGTTGTTTCAGGGACAAGAGACTTCCAACATTCTTTGTTCTTATTGTCTTTAAAGACAGAAGTTTAATTAGCATGGCATATCATTTCCGATGTCTATTTCTCCGCAGCTTCATCACACCTCCTACTGTTCAAAATATGTTTCAGTTTAACGTCCACCCATTTCTCCACAAATACATTTGCACTAGTCTTCCCATTATTCTGTTCCATTATGAAAACAAATTTGTGATAATATATTTTCAGCAAAATGCACCTTAGTATTGTTATTATCAAATACTTCCTACAATGTCTATTTTTATTGAATTTATGGTGATCAGTGACACATTTCATCTCTTTGACACATAGATCTATTGACAACTTGCACCAGCTATTTAGATGAAGGTTAATATAATAAAAGATTACAAACATGTTAAGTTAATGTCTTTCCTTGTATCACAAGATGAGATGTCGGCCGTCCTTTCTTTGGTGTTGCCTTTACCTCAGTACTTCTCTGCAGTAAACATTTTATATGAGAGAAACTTTGTGATTATGCCTCAGTTTTCAGTGAACATCTGGCATTGTTATGACACTCAGAAATGAGTTAAGTTCAGTTTTGATTTAATTAGGTACACAAGCATGCCACTGAACATGTATTCCAAGGAGCTGCCAGGGGTGGAAAGGCTAGTGGAATGATAGGTTACAACACCAGAATTGGAATGAAAAGCATTAAACAGCCCTTCAAAACAATGAATTGACTTCAGCAGACATATCAGATGTCTCATAGATACATTAAACAGCTTCACTAGCGCTTGAACAGGTTGCTCTTGTCATGATGTCATTCAGTCGTTTTGTCCAGTTGCTCAGCATGAGTAGACCACAGTTTGCCCAAAGATTGTTTGATTGTGTGCCAAGCATCATCAGTATCTATGCCTGCCATTTAGGCATAGATACTGAACTATTTGCAACACTTTGTGTCTCCTTGCACAAAGTCTTCAGCAACTTTGGTTTAGTGTTTCAAGGACTGACTGTGATTCACAGAATATCAGAATATCATCTGGAGTAATGCCATAATCCAGAGGCATGTGTGCATGTCATAGTCCCAACGGGAGGTGCTTGCACACTTTCTCGTTCCTAAGACAATTTCTTGTTACAATTTCTTAGCCAGAAACTGATTTTCCAGAAACATCCAAATTATCGCTGGACATCCTGCATGATGTGGTGCTCCTCCTGTGGCCTGACTAGTTCCTCAAATGTTTCCCAACAAAACCAGTGTAGATAGGACCATTAGTGTACCCACACTTTGCAATACACAGAGGGCCAATGTTTCACATTCAGTGTGGAGTAGATCGAGCATTCAAATACCCAGAGTGCCAACCCAAAGTATGGGTGAAGAGAACCATCTGTTTTAACCTCAAAAGAATCCAAGAAAGATGAAGACTGATAGATGATAAAGCAACAAGAGAGTTGCTGATGTCATCTTCCATGGACTATGCCACTGATCTGGACAGGTTGTAAAGGGAACTGCAATGAAGTTGGGCTTCTGGAAGGAGATCTGTAAACTGCAGAGTCAGTGAGGTGGTAAGTAGAGTACAATTCAATTCAATTAACTGATGTGGCACCAATTCACAACAAATGTCTCAAGGTACAAAAACGTAATTTCAATCCACACATACATTGCAATTGATCCATACTTGGATCCAGTGGTGGGAAGTAACGAAGTACAAGTACTTCGTTACTGTACTTAAGTACA